AGATGAACACACCTGTGGCAGCCTTCTGTAGAAGAGGACATATACTTGGAGACAAGCTAGTTAGGAAAAAAACTCCAGTGCAGTGAAAGTTCAAGCCTTGTGCCACAAGTCTGCGTTTTCCCTGGAGGGACGGGCATGTGGAAACCTCTGCTCCATAACAGAAAGGCCATGTTCAAGCTCTTGGCTGTCTGGTGCCTGCCAGCCTGTATGGGAGAAGTGATACTTTTATGTATTCATTGTAGGATTTAAAAAGAAAATCAAAAAAGACAAAGCCCATATTCTAACAGCCTGAAACTATTCCAGATTTTATCTCAGAGAGAACAGGGCTGATGACAAAACCATCTCCTCTGGATGATGTGTCAATAACAACATAAAATGTAATTCCCAGATGTTAGTTGTATGAATTATTCCACCACTAATGGCAAGCTGATCACATGAGAGAGGCAGTCATGAGATGCAAACCCTTTGATTAGGGAATACATTGCAGTCAAGGGGAAGATTTTCTGCACAACACAGAGAAGCATAACAACTGTGCTCCTACCTGCCGAATATTTATGTCATCAGCTATAACTTCAGGCAAGGTTTTAAAACATGAGTCCATATTTATGGCTATTATCGCTGAGATTTTGTTAAGCACCTTTCTTTTACATTAAAACATAGGCACTATTTTTAAAGCCTTTTCAGCAATGCTTGGATTCTTTATCATGCAAGTTGTTGTCATGAGAGAAACATTTCAAACCTTAGAAACTGTAAAATAATATTCCTAAAATTGACACATGGCTAAAAATGTAAGAACTTTTTGTTCTGAATGAAAGATCTGACTGTCACAAAATTCTGTCTAATCTGGTTTTCATGGGTCAGCCCTTCTCTATTAAATGGTTTTTAGCTGCTGTTCCATGGCTTAATATCCAGTATATCCTCTATGAGAGGACTGTAGCCTGCCTTTTCAAGAGGATGAGCTCAATAATTTGTTCTTTTTTATCTCTAACTATGATGATCCTGCTTAAAAGCATGATGACTACCGTTCTGTAGCTTCTAGTATGTGGGGGAAAATCCACTGTAATTAAATCTTATAAAATCCTCTAATTCCCAATATAAACAATTCTCTGACACAGACGATTCCCCGGAGTCTACATCATAGCCCAAGGAAAACAAAGAGCAGGAGCAGTTTCTTGCTTCCTTTTAAATATTTGATCATTTTGAACAAACTTCTGCCCTGATTACAGTAGCTGAAAGCCTTACTCAAATTAATTATTTTTGAGACAGAATTTGGATTACTGATTTTTTCTCACTCGTAATGTTACCTTGGATAATGACTAAAGTAGCATGTAACTTAAGCTGTGTAAGCAAGGCAATAGTTGCCTGAATTGTTCTACAAGATGTAGCATTGTATTTCTCATTTTGTACTAGAAACCAAAGCACATAAATCCTGCTTGACAGGATTTGAGACTGAAAGTGCACTGGCAACAGAAGAGGTATATGCCTCATTAAGCAAATTTACCAAAACCAAAGGATCCTCTTAGCATACAAGTATGAATTATAGCAATAATATTAATGATGTGCAGTGATACAATACTAATTCCATGGGCATTGCAACTTTTTATCCCCTTTTAGATTTTGGGATAATGGAGTGTGTAGACAAAAACTCTTGCCAAGAGTACATTATGAAGCAGAAAGAGCTTTGGGTATATACCTAATCCTTTACCTATTTGCAGGATCACGATGCCTTCCTTGTACATGAGAACATTGACACTACACCACCAGAGAGCACTGTGCTATTCCTGCGTAGTACTCCTTACCTTTCCCTTCATGTTCAAGAACTATTTTATTGTCTTTTTTCTTCTATAATACAGTAGAACTCAAATGGTTGTTGTGATTCTATTGGAATTCCCAAACATTTTGGTGCCATTGTCCTGTGTGCACCAACAGCCTTTAGTTGCCCCAATCAGCCTCATCTGGGAATTTCACTAATGGACCAGAAATCCCATTTAAGCTCAGACCTGGGCCTGGAGTCCTCATCTGAGCAATGTTGTAGGGGTGCTGGCCTGCACTCTTGTCTCCTGGGCGAACCTGAGACCTGTGCTGAAACTAGCTTGTGTCCTAGATGGACCTTAGACCTAGACTGTAGCTTGTGTCCAACCCTGTTTCCTTTTCATGGAAGCATAGACTGGATAAAGTTGGAAAAAAACCTCTATGAACATCAAATCCAACTGTCAATCTAACATCACCATCATGTTCACCATTAAACCATGTCCTCAAGTGCCGTATACACATTTTTTGAATGCTTCAGGGGTGACAATTCCACCACTTCCATGGGCAGCCATGCTTGACAACTGTTTCAGTGAAGAATTTTTTCCTAATATCTAATCTAAACCTCTCCTGGAACAACTTGAGGCCATTTCCTCTCATCCTGCTGCTTGTTTCCTGGGAGAATATACAGACACTCACCTCTCTAAAACCTCCTTTCATGTAACTGTAATGACTCTCCTTTTCTCCAGGCTAAACACCCATAGTTCACCCAGCCATTCCTCTTGCTTGTGAGATTTGTACTCCAGACCCTTCACCAGCTTCATTGTCCTTCTCTGGATACCCTTCAGCACCCCAATGTCCTTCTTGTAGCAAGGACAAAACTGAACACAGGATTCAAGGTGCCTCACCAGTGCTGAGTACAGGGGAATGACCACTTCCCTAGCCCTGCTGGCCATACTATTTCTGATACAGGCCAGGAGGCCATTGGCCTTCTTGGCCATCTGGGCACACTGCTGGCTCATGTTCAGCTGCTGCTGACCTGCACCCCCAGTCCTTTTCTGCTGGGCAGCTTTCCAGACACTCTCACTCAAGCCTGTAGCGCTGCATGGGGCTGTTGTGACATAAGTGCAGGATCCAACACTTGGCTCCTGACCAGACTGCTTGTACAGCCCTCAGACCTGATTCATCCCCTCACCATGTCTGGGGAGATTGATGGACCCTGTCACCAGCACTCAGCTCTGCCTGCCATGCTCAGGTGTCATGAGCTTTTGTGCTGGTTGGTGAGGGCACTGCCTGTGCTGGGCTCGTCTGAGGCCGAGCCCTCTTTGGAGCAGCCAGTCCTCTCTGCACCTTGACATGTCTGAACTGTCCGTGATCTGGGACAACTGCTACTGAAAACAGACCATGACATCCAGCTACCAAACTGTCTTGTTTCTGCTCTTCCTGAGATACTTACCATGTATTTCACTTTTTAAAAGATCACGTAACTCTGTATCGCAATAGTCTAAAATCTGTGTCAGAAAAGGGAGGCAATAAATGGCATATTTGGTAGCAGAATATTTTGCTTAGTGTCACCTAATTTTCTCTGAAATGTCCTCTGTCTTTCTGAACTTTCAGCATTCTCTTTGTGGCCCAGATTCTTGTGTTAGAGTACTTTTTGGACTGGAAAAGAAATCCATCCTCCTTGATTACAATACAATTAAAAAGCCAGATTGATTCAAAATGTTGGAAAACACTAGGTTGCTACCTTATCTCCAGGTAGAGATCAAACATGGAATAAACTAATAGTTTAGCAGCATGTGAGAATTTCCCATTTGAATGTCTTTCACCAGTGAAATTTGCATGTGTTTATGTAGGCATTAAAAGAGGAAATCAATGTGGAAGATGTCTTTTCAACTAATTCCTGGATCCATTTCACCCAAAGAAACAAAACAAGTTTTTCTGAGGGTTTGCTTTCAACTCAAACTTCAAATACTTTGTAGGAATGTGTCAAAAAAGACAGCCTGCTACATTTTTGTTGAAATGCTCTTCAGATCAAAGTACCACCTTAATATTTTTTTTAGGCACAGAACTGAGTTATGGATACTTCTTAATCATTTAATAGGATGACATATAATAAATGTTCTCTAGCCATTTCAGCTTAGGGAAATATTCATTACTTTTGCAGCTTATTAGTACAATTTTTATGAGATCTCAGTAGTCTTTTAGAGGAGTGTAATAAAATCAAACTCATAGCTATCCCAACAGAATAAATATCTGATATATGGTTGCAGAGATTTCTAGACAAGAAGGAAAAACCCTTATACTTTAGTGGGAACTGTCCCTATGAATAAACTGTTTAACCCTGTCTGTGAGAGGAAATGTTGAGGCACCAGAACAGAATTCCAAACCAGTCTCCATGCAGGAGTTCTCTATTGGTTTTCCACAGTGCCTGCCTTTCTTCCTGTATGTGTGGCATTGCTAAAACTGTTGCAATAAATGGAATAGACTTTGATGCTCTGTATTTGAATAAGTAATGCACTGTGGTGGGTGTCATTATTTCTGTTGCAATTAAAGCATTTTCTTTCTTGCTCTGCTAACTATGGAGAAGCTATCTCACTTGGGTGTGCCTCTATTCCTTCCCAACATATTGACTTCATGGTCTCTATGGAAAAAACCCCAAAATACTGCTTAAGCTGTCACCTGGTTGATTCACTGGAGAACTGGGAAATCTTAGGTGACAGTGAAATACTTTCAGCGGTTTGTTATGCTGACAGGCTGACTTGCTATTTTATCTCTGTTACCATTTCCTCTCAAAGTCATCATTCTTTGCCATCACTTTTGCAGTATTTATCCAAGCCATCTTGATGTATACCTGTCTTATGACCATCCCTTTCAGTCCCCAGTCTTTCTTCCCATGCTAATAGTCTAGTCATGAGATTGAAACTTTTGTTATTGCTAGTCCCCAAATTGATTCAGCAGCACTTTTTAAGGAGAAAATGCAAAACCCGTGTTTCATCTTGGTGTTTTATTACTTCTTAATATATGACAAAACAGACTTTTTATCCATCAGACAGGCAGCACTTAGCATTGCTAAACAGAAAAACACTTCCTAGTTTTAGCTTTTCATGTCCTGGTGAGTAAAGCGCTCCTTTTCCTCAAACTGCTTCTGCTATGGATTAACTCCACAGTGAAGATAAGTTTAGAACCTGCTAGGAACTTGTCTTGGCTAAGGGCAAAAGAAAGGAAGGGCTGACAGAACTAGAGTTGCACTTTTCAGCTCCTTACTATCAACTTGCAAATAGAACGGGCCGAGAAGAAAGGAAAGGTCTTGGCAGTGGGGATTTACAGCTCTTCTGTTTCACCACTTATTGGCACATTGATCTCAGTATGGTACTCCAAGGAGTCTCCTGAAGGCATCCAAGGTATTGGGGTTCTGTTGAAGGAGGGTCTGTTGCTGAAATTTTGATTATATATCATGAGAGATTCTGGAAGCACAGGGCAGATATCAAACTGAGGCACTTTGAAGGTCATCCGTTTGGCTGCTCTCTCATAACCCCCATAAGGCATGGCAGTCCTGGTATAGGGGAATACATGGAGTTAGTGAACAAAGCATAAACAGCAGGACTTAAAAAATATTTATCAAAGTTATTGAGATCGTAAATTTTGCCACTGTTGACGTTGCCTGGCCAACAAATCCCACATAAGAACATCTATGTGTCCATTGCCCATGTACTAAATCAGATATAAACATATATACACATTTCTGTGCACTTCTTTTGCCCTTGTTGCATCAATCTCCATCAAACCATACACCTTTCACACCTGATGGTCCCCTGTACACACAGGAGGCAGAGGCTGTATTATTGCAGGAATGAGTGGGACGTGGGTTTGTCCTCAGTACTGATGTTCCGAGGCGATGGAAGTGGGTGGCAAAATTGTATGGAAAGGTTAACAACAAATTGTTGCTGCCCTAGCTATATTTGTAAAACTTTCAGTTCTTCTCAGAAGCATCAGGAAGATCCTGATTCTTAACTGAAGTACTGTGAAGTATATGGCTTCTGATGGTAAGTATTCTTGCTGAACTCTTGAACTTTAACGGGCTGAAGTAATAAACAGTGGCAAGCTAAATCTTCCTGGTCAAATGGGGCGAGAAAGAAAGGGAAATAGGATTAACGTCTTCTTATCCAGCTGCATAGGTTTTCCATCCATAAGCTGAATTAAAATCTCTAGCTCTTACTGTATTTTCTCTTTGTAGTCTTCCAAACATTTCATCCACAGGAGACTGTGCTAAGCAAAATGACATGCAATTAAAACTTATTTACAGTGCACATGACAGGAGGGCTATGGTCAGAGTTATTGTGCTTTCTCATGTTAAATAAACTGAATTGAATATCTAAGAAGACTTACCGGTTAAAAGACTTGTAATGGGGGAAATCAGCTTTGGGACTATATGACAGTAAGTCCGTGGTGAACTGACTTTTGTCCTCAGGGCTGATACCCATCGCTCGTTCCCAAGGGGAGATGTAAGTTTTAAATATAGTGACTTTTTTGCCTCCTGACTTTCCATCTGTAAACAGAGGAAGGTAAAGCACTCTAGTTAGATGACTCTTACTCTAAATACATTGCCAGCTTTGTTTGCAGAGTCTGGAACTCCTAGATCAAGTTTGAGATTTTATGGATAGATTTCTCCTCAAAAAAGATGGTCCTACACCACTTCTGCCCTTTCCAGAAATGCAGGTTACTACAGTCTGAGAGCCACTCATCCAACAATTTGCATTAAAGCATATATTTGAAAGCTAATTTTTCACTCAGCTCTCTGACTGCTCAAATAAAGAGAACTAATTCCCTTACCTCATCACCTCTTTCACAAACTCAGGGGAAGCTTTATACAAGGCAAGATGCTATCTAATTTCTTAGTTAACATTTTTTGTACAAGAATCTAATTTTCATTAAAATTTCATTAAAAAAATAAAAACAACTACTCCCCTCTTTCTGTGTGAAGTACTTAAACTAAGTAGTTTACAAGAAAATTAATTGCTAGGGTCGAAAAATAAAAGCAGCTGGGATCCATCTCTGCAGTGAAAGCTATGGGATGATAATAATCCTCCTCACTGCACACAGAAATAGGATAACAATGGAGAAAAATCTCCTATAAGAAGGCTATAAGAGTCTAAGCAGATTTCTTTTTCACAAGGATTCCTAGAAAGGTAAAGACTGATTTTTATACAAAATGCACCTTCTTTCAGAATATAAGTGAAAAACTTTGGATTTTACAAGTCATTAATTTGGTTACTTATGGCAGTTGTTCCCGGTTTCTAAGCAAATTTGATTTTTGTTGTAAAAACCTACAGAGACTGTTAAAATAATGATTTCACCTGCTGATTCTCATGCAGGGTATTTGGTTCTAGAGATTTCTGGCCAAACTAAACAGACGATAAAATCAGGCAAAGACTAAACTGAATGAAAAATACTTTTACTCATAAATATATTACTTCGCTGCCCCAGTGGTGATTACCAGATAACTTTTAGAAATATTGCTGTTCCTTTCTGAAGATGATCCAAATAATGTTGTTCATTTAGGTAGAAGCTTTGATTTGAAATCAAGGCTGAGATATTCAAGGCTGATGTGTCAGATCAGACTGCTGAGCTTAAGACCTACTGTCTCTAGGTCAGTGTGAAACTTTTGAAAGGAAAGAGTATGCCATACTGGCATGGCATAGCCATAATGGCATACTGCTGTATCAGCCTTAGGAGTTCAGTAGTCAAGTTTCCAAAAGTTTCTTCGGTTCAGTCAAGGAAGGTATTTCTACTTCCTGCCTATGACTGAGCAACACAGAGACATGCAAACAAAACTACCAAGCTAAAGGCAGTTCAACTCTTCTAGACTTTGTGAAGGAACTTACTTTGGAAGAATTCAGGTTTTAGGCAAATTAACTTGTGTGTCCTTAAGAGTAAGTTTGGCATGAGGTCTGGTAACTTCAGCTATTTCTTATTCTTGCAGAGAGATACTTGCCTTTGCCTGTACCATCGCCTCCTTCTCCACCACTTCCAGATGATTTCCCCCCATGCTCCCCTTCGCCGTCTCTAGGGCCTCCTTTGCTTCCAGGCCTAGGAGGGACACCTGGATGCTGCTGTGTACTGGAGCCATGCTGTCCAGCTGTCACTCCTCCTACCATCCGCCCGTGGGCATAGCCATGAGCATCTTCCCCATAATGCCCTCCTGGCGGGATGAACTTCTGAAAGTGATCCTAGGGCAGAAGGAAAGAGAGTAGGGATCCCTGTTACAGGACATGGCCCATTTATATTTGCAGGATTGGGTCCCAGAACATGAACTCCTGAGCCTCTGTGAAGTGACCAATTTTGTGTCTCAGTTACAAAACCAGTGGCAGACCTTTGTGAGTGTTATTCTCAGTGTTCAATATGGGAGCAGTTGTTGGACCGCAGCAAGGGCAATGGGAGCACACACACCTCATAGTCATTTTATATGATCAGAGTGAGAAGGACATATGTATTGTCCCCAACCAAACCTAACCAGCAACAAGGCAAGAAAGAATATTGTAAAATTAAACTGGTCTTATTAAAATTAAGATGGTCTTATTTTCCAGGTCATTCACTCTCCCCAGTCCAGGCGAGAAGACACAATCTCTGCAGTACATAGTTACAGAGCAAACAGTCCTTGGCAGGACTTACAGATGCTGTGGTGCCAGCACAATGTCCTGTCTTTGCACACAGAAATTTTAATAAATACTTGTGTGGAATAGAAATTGATACAATATGTTCAGAAAATTGTGTTACGTATTGGTCATAAGTCGCATCAAAGCTTGAATCCTGTCAGACATAAAAAGGTATCTTGTGTATTACAAGCCACACAGCTATATAACACAAGTAACCTGCATTATAGCTCACGTATGGCCTTTCCTGCTGGAGTAGGAGATTGGCTCTAGATGCACAAAGACGCAACAAATGCAAATGAATGAAGTTGAATGAATCTGTGGTTCCTCGTGCTGCAATTCTACTTGTATGGAGCCATCTCAGGCAGTCAGTGGGAGACGGGAGTGCCAGCCTCAGTGCTGGCTCTCAAAGGGTTACAGCTTTCTCGGTGCTCTTACACCTAGCACAGTTTAGCAAAAAGAAGCTTTCCAGGCTGTAAACAGGCTTCCAAGGCCAGCTGTTCAGTCAGCTAAAAATAGATGAGAAGTGAAAACCCCACAAGGCTCAAGGCAGAATTAGCTAACCCTCTGCTCCCTGCGTCTCCCGCAACAGTGTCCAGGGTTTCACAGCAGGTCACCAGGCTGCAGCCCAGGCAGGCAGCCAGCTGCAGGCTGAAGTGGCAATGCCGGTGCCCCCAGGGCCTTTAGGGACTGTCTGTCCTTCTCCTAGCTGTAGGGAATTCCCTTTTTAGGAACAGAGGAGATAATGTTCCCCTGAATGTCAGGAAGCAGGGAGAGGGGAGAGGATTGTGAGCATTAAGCTGTACACTGGAGCTAGCAGGGCAATCTGCTCAATTATGCGTAGGAGCTATGTAGCTGTAAAAAGGCAAATTGAAAAAAAGGGTACTTTGAGGGCTAGGGGTCAGAATGAGGTTATTCTCAAAATGTTAATACACATGCAAGGTTAATGCTTCTACTGGTGTGCTCAGTGCTTTCAAAACACGTTTTGCATCTCTTTTCCTTCATGTTTCACCCATGCTGTGTGTGCCCTTCCTGAGAATTAAATGCTTATTTCTCTTTTCCTCTGGTTACCTACAAGCTCTCTCCTGGGAAAACAAAAAAAAAAAAGTAGTCACAAAACATCAGCATAACATGAGCTACAGTAAAATGGGCTAGTTTGAGTCTGTTCACAGCATTATTTGCTGTGACCAGGAAGGGGCATCATTGTCATCTAGTGTTACTTTAACTTGTAGGATTATCACTAAGTAGGAGTGAAGTTTCTCTGAAACAGAAGGTCTGCATCAGGAAAGCCACACCTAAATCTTATTTAGCAGCAAATTGAATTAGTTTGATTTGGTTTAGGCTAGTTCATGATTCTTCATGGACCCACAGGGAAAATATCTGATCTGCTGAAAGCAGACATCTCCATTCAAATGGGAAAGACCCATTTTCCATGCAATACCCTAGTCTACTCACCTGCTAGAACAAAAACATAATTTTCTTTAGTTTTGGCCACCACAATAGATTGTCTTAGTTCAGATTAACAGGAGGCAAAGGAAAATTAGTATTTTTGAAAGATTTTCCAAGACAGCAGAGCTCAGGGACATCAGCCTCGAGTAGGAGTGTCACCATAGTCAGATCTGGGGAGGTGCAGCTTTGCCTCTGGTACTTAGACAAAACCTCTGGTCAGAGCATTTGGAGTGAAATATGGCTCACACTTGAGGAGAATGCATATCTTGGGCCATTGCTAACAGCATGCTCACTTCATAAAAGCAGCCTCTCAGTTAGGTTGATTGGTGGAAGTTTCAGGAGAGAAGCCCAGGAATGTCAGCTGAGAAGGCTGATAACCTTTTCCTGTTAGCTCTGGGGACTTATCACACAGTTCCTCCATGGCAGGGTCTGCCCCATCTGTGCATTGCTGGAGGTACTGGATGTTATCAGTCCCTGGGCATCCCTAAATCCACTCTAACAAGAGAACAATTGTGGCAAGTTCATGTGATGTGTAGTCCCCTGGGTTGGCTAAACAAATTGAGCTCATGCCTTTCAAGTCCTTAATGCTAGCAAGAGCCTGTTCCTGCAGACTGAGTGCCTAGATGGACAAAGTCTGAATTCTCTAGAGCATGTGCCTAATAAAAACTAGATAATGAAAGATGATCCAACTAATAGAGCTGAGATCTCTAAGTATCTCAAGGCCCTGACGTCACTGCAGGCAGTCCCCAGGAGGAGACACTGTGTGCTCCCCTTCAGCTCCTCGCTGTGTCCTGAAGAAAATGATTGAGGCCACCAAATGTGTTTCTATTTCCACCTCACTGATAAAGAGCTCCCTAAATGTTTGATGCCTATGTAGTTACTAACACTTCTGAAGTTACTGGACTGTGTCCTCTCAGTGGCAGCCACTCAAATGCTCCTTAATGGTGGGATGGGAGATTTAAAATTCAGACACTTGGAGAGTCTCATAGATTGCCTGCTGGTTTTATGTGTGTGCCTAAATCCCTCATTTGGAATTGCATAGCCTTAAACCTATGATTCTCTTTCTTTTTTTAAAAAGCATGAAAATAAGAAGCTGTTAAAGTATCTTAAGCTAATTTTTTTTAAACTTGCTACCCCAAGAGGCACAGCAGGTTTGAGCTCCTGCATTCTATTTCCAGGTCTACTTCTGACATGCTGTTTAATCTTAGGCAAATTATTTTTTGCCTCTGTGCCTGAATTTACACATCTAAATAACAGATATTTTTATTTAATGCTACCCAAGATTAGATATATCTTATTTGTGTATTTTGTGCCATCTTTGCTGCATTTTCTTTGGGGATTAAAGAAAATGAGTTTCAGAAATTTGGTCCAGAGTTTTCTCACAGTGCTGCAACAAATTGCTGTGATAAATAAAAGGCTGTTCCTTTCTATCACTCTGCTTTTTCCACACCAGTCACTTCTTGAATAAGAATGCATCAGACTTCAGGTTCACTCTCATAAAGCTTTGGGTATGGTTGGGATGTCGAGGTCTTCTGCACCAATCCACCTCCAGCACAGCAAGACTCATTTGTTAGACAAGTTACATCTTGCCTGGCTTGCTCCACTGAGGTCATAACCTGAGACGTATCTCAGCTTGTGAATATCCCATAGTGTTTGTTCAAGATGTTTACTATTCCCTGCAGAACAGTATTCCTAGAAAAAATTGTTTTCCTAACATTCTCCCTTTACCTCCAGTGATCTTGGCATTCTTCTAGGTGCATTGAAGAGCAAACAGAGCCATCAGTGCATGCTTGTGCAATAAACCTAGTAGCAGCATGATAAATAACATATTTGTTTCTCCATCCTTATGCTTTCCTTCACACACTGTATCATGTCTGGCTGTTTTACATGTAAGATCTCTGAGGCAGGTGGGATGTGTCCTCTGTGAAGCATCACTTCTGGCATGGTAACATAACCACTTTGATTATCTTCCTGCTACCTCTGCCTACTCCTCCGAGTCCTTGTTCAGCAGCAAAAGGAATACTGAGTAACTCCTGCCATTATCCAGAAGAACAGTAATCTTTAACCCTTGAAACAGTAATTCGTGTAACCCTTTTTCAGTCCTTATATTTTGTTTCACAGTTGCTGTCAGCTTATCTGGAGAGACCTCTTGACTTGAAGTCCAGCAGAAATTGCCAACATGTGTTCAGCTTGTTTTCATATAAGCATTGCCAAAATTGGAAACTGCATTTATTTTAACTTGTGGGTGAGTCTGAGAAAGTATCACGGTGGGGGTTTTGTACTAGTTGTCTACTCAGATATTCATTATTTCACCTTCCTAATGGTTTTAATTTAAGGCTGGTAGTAAAGCATAAAGGGGGAGGGGGTGGGGAGTCTTCTATGTGTAACCCAAATCAGGACACAGGTTTTGACTAGCAGAAAGACTGTGTTTAAGGATCTTAACTTGAAGAAAAACAGTATAACCACAACATCCCAAAAACATAACTGTGATTTTGTGTTCAGTTTCAACTTGATGATAGCAGGAAGGTCTTACACAGAGGTTCCCAAAGCAGAGGTGGGACCTTATAAGGAGTTAGGCTGTAAGGCTGTAAGGCTTAAAAACATTGTTTCACACAATCTTTATGTGTTCAAGGCCAAACAAACTTAGCACTACAGCATGGAGAAAAGATCTATAAAATGCTGATCTATTAATTGCTAAACAGTGAAGTGGGATTTAGGAGATCCAAAGATAAGACTGAGACCCTCTGTATGATTTTGGGTGACTCGTTAATCTACCCCTTGGTTCAATTTCACCATTAAAAAGTAAATCTAGTCATTTCCTTCAGTTGGACAAATGCTACAGTAAGATGGGATTTTATCATGGTCTTTAGTCAGTATAAATTGCATCTTGCAGCCTCATAGTGAGGTTGATAATATCCTCTGAGACATGGAGAGAGCCACAGTTCCTGCAACAGGGTGGCACAACCTGAGATGAGGAAAC